CCCCAGCGACGGGGCCGCCGTTTTGAGGGTCTCGGGCTGAAATAGCTGTCCCGGAGTTAGCTGCGGGCCGGGTGAGAGGGTGGCTGTGGGAGCGGCCCCGCTCCTGTGGTGCTGCTAAGGCCGTGTTTCTCTCCTGCAAATCTAAGGTGCCTTCATGAATAATTTAAATGACCCTCCCAACTGGAACATCCTGCCAAATCAACGAGAGCCCGGGGATGAAGGCAGCCGATGGAACTACGCCTTGCTGGTCCCCATGCTGGGCTTGGCCGCCTTCCGTAAGTAGCGCCCAGGCCTGTCTGCTGGAGCTGGAATGCGTGGCTGCACTCAGGCCTCTCACCCGCCAGCCAAAGGGGAATCTCTGAAGCAGTATAGTGATACCCCATCTAGGCATTTCCTCTGGCCTGCTCATTTATAATGTTATAAACAGTAAGCACTGTTTATAGCATTAAGGCAGTGGCCATTTTTCACACATGGAATTGAATCCATATTTACTAAGCTCCAGTTTACAAAGCTCTCAGAAGCGTGGACATATGACGTGCTAGAGAGCCCAAAGGTAACAACCCAAGGAGCTGCTGATGTATATTTATGTACTGGACCTGAAAAGTTCTCAGTGCAGTTCCTGCATTGGAAACCTCCAGTTTGTTTCCCCATAACTTTGTTTTCCTTCTTTAATCCAAGAAGTGTATGTATTAGCACTAAAAGACATGGGGAGATTTTACTTCAAAGGAAACATGATCGTTTAAAGTGACTTACTGTGAAACATGGACCCACAGAAATACATTTTGTGGGACGTGAATAGAAGTGAATATCACTGGGGAGGGCAGGAAAGAAAGTTTTTCACCACTTAATAGCTTCTTTAGAGGCATAGTTAATTAATCATACCCATCAATGTTATATGTGTTATACTCATGTCTGAAGTCTCATTTATATATGATAGGTTGGATCTGGACCAGAGAATGTCAAAAAGAAATAGAAAGAGAAAAAAAAGAGTATTATAAAAAACATTCATCTTTACAAAAAGACCTGGAAGCCAAATACCGGGATATAATCACAGAAAATCGTCGGACGGTTGCTCACTTGGAGTTGGAGCTTGAAAAGGAACGCAACAGAACCCTGAGTTACCGTGAAGCCCTCGTGTCCCAGAGTCGCAAACTAGTAGAAGAAAGAAGGATCCTGGAACAGGAGCAGGAGAAGTTAGAGCGAGAAAAACAAGTCCTTTTGCGCTCAGGAGCAGCAGGTAACTTGTACCAAAGTTGTCTGGCAAAGGAAGAAGAGTGGCAAAAGAGAGCCAATATTTTACTAAAAGAATTTGAAGAGGGACTTAAAGAAAGACAGGACATCTACTGCAGTCTTGTTGTACCCAGAAGCCAGAGACTAGAAATAGAGAAAAATCTGCTCGTTAAAGCAGCAACAGATCCTGTTGCTGTGGCTCTACATATGGAAAGTGGCTTAAAAGATATTTTCAAACATGATAACTACTGTGGCAATCTGCTGAACAGAAACAAAAGTCAAAATGGAAGACTTATGTGGCTGTATCTGAGATATTGGGAACTAGCTATTGAACTACAAAAGTTCAAGAGGGCAGAAAAGGCCATGTTAGGAAAACGATAAGTAGGAGAAGTAATGGGATTTCATGTGATCCACTGTGCATAGTGGGGACAATCACAGTTGTAGTCTGAAGCTGTTAAATTCTACCGTGTTTCCATTTCTCCTCCTCGTTGCACTTGCATTTGCATGGGACGTGCCGTTTTGGTGCCTTTCCTTTCACTGTCTAACAACAGATGCTCCAGTGAGCTATGCATGCTCTTAAACTCTGTGAGTGTGTTTGTATTGCAGACTGCAGTGTAGTATAGAGATATGCCAGCTTCCATAGGTATCAGAAGCAGCAAAACAGAACTCCGTTTAGAGTGATTTACCTAGTTGATGGTCATACGCCATCAACAGAGAGGTGTGATTTGTCTCCCCCAAGTGGGGTAGCACATTGTGCTCCTTATCCCTGATGTTTTACATGGCATCTCAACACTATCTTTTTCTTTTTTGTTTGTTTGTTTAAGCAAGACTGATTTTGAGGCAGATGCTTGGAAGAGACCATGTTTGAGCAAGGTGCTTGTCACATAAATCCTACGTGTATATATGTACATTTATATACAAATATATGTATGTGTGAATGCGTGTGTGTATAAATGTATGCGTTAGTATTCTGAGGGGGGGAATAGTATGATCATGTTTCAAATTAATCAGTCTTGCATTGTCTTCCAGCTTAATATACAAATAGTACTTTATGAAGGAAACTTCCAAAAGATGCTAATTAAAATAACACATAAAGAAACAGATTGATGAAAGTCTCATTGGAGCTAGGAATTCATGCTCGAATACTAAAGAGTGTATGAACTCGAAGTTATATTCTCATCATACTGGAGATATGTTAAGAATACTTATGTTTTTCTCTCCGTCAAGGTTTTAGCTGTAACCCAACAGTGTGCATCCATTATAGATGTCACCATGCTGCTGCCTCTGCATCCCAGCGCACTGGCTGCTACCTGGTTAGCTTGCAGGAACCTCCATGGGTTACAGCCATCGCGCCTGGCTCTGTTCCTTGGACAGGTCCCATTTGTTATTCACAGATAGGAACCTAAATGCAGCCTGCACTGGTAGCCACTACCTCCCTCCCTGACTGTCTCAGTTCTCTCAGAACTGAAGTATGCTTTTCCATGACTCTTAAATTTTGAGCTTATGGTTCACCACTTCACGTACACGTGACCATGAAAGCCTACAGATATACAAGCTTTGCAAACTTTCAAGAAAGGGGGCTTTTTACTTTGGTTAGCACGGTAAAATAAACAGATCTAGATATTTAAAAAAAAAAATGCCTCAGTGCATTTCCATGCTTGAAATCCCCTAAAATTTTGAGTATTCTTTGGGTCCTTGTAGCAGTAGGAACCACCTTCTTTTTCAAATGTGCCATGTATTTTGGAGAATAACTTTTTTCTTCCTCCTTTCTAATCCAGCCTTAGACCTCAAAGGGGCAGTGTTTTCCCTTTTGTTCATAACATCTGGTCTCCTCTATTACTTGACTTTGATAGTGTTGGTAGGTTGTCAGTTCTTTAATTAACAGTTCTTTATTTACTGAGGGCTAGACTTGACAAACACATTTGCTCTAGGCAATCAGCTACCGCATGGCCCAGAAGCAATCCAGCTAAGTGAATGCCCATCCAAGTTTAACAGAGAACTCCAGCAGTTGTGGGTCTTTCTCTTGTTGTTTCCCTCTGGTTTCATTTCAGTGTGGGCACAGAAGACAGCAGATAAATCTTTTGAAGTAGCGTGTGCAACGTAATCCAGTTACTCAGCAAAAACATCTAACGTGAAACAAAATTCTTAAACAGAATATGTTTCCCAACTACTCAGTTTTCCAGTTGTGATTTTGCTCACCTTGGTGGTGCTAATTACACTGTTGTATTGATTTATTAGTCTCTTATGTACTGATTTTTTTTTTTTTTAATAAATTTGTAGTAGACAGACACCTGAAAAAAAAAAAGAAGAGATACTACCACAAACACCAGAAAGGCCAAAATTTGTCTGGATGCCATGCATATGCGGGTTGGGAGATGAGAATGCAACTGAGTTACTACTCGTGTGTGACAGCCTGAGCCAAGCTGCTGTAGCTGGTATGCACATGCCCCAATTGCCCAGTAGAACAAATTAGTTTGAACAACTAATTACCCTGTGTGTAATTCCTCCAGGACGTGGAAAGTGTCTAACCACACAGCTGTGGAGCATTTCGTATGTACGTATAGGCAGTTAAGCAACTCGGGTGACAAACAGCAGCCAGTGAATCAATGCCAATGTATTTTAAGACTCATGTCTTGACTTTGTACATACTTCTTAGTTCTTAATATTAAAAGCACTGTATGCTTTTTTAGTTTTTTCATAGTTTGTCACTGACATCACTCAAAATGTTTAAAGAAAATGTAATCAAGAGGGTAAAATACTTTTTTGAGTATAAATATGTCAGTTAAAGCATCATACGCTCAATGGTACAGGGTTGGATGCAATGTAATGTTTTATTCCCTTTCACTTCTTCAGAAGTGTCAATTACTTGTACAACTAATTGTTGAACTATTGTTCATGGACACTTTGCAGATAGTATATTCAGACTGAAGAGTTATTTGAGGAGGATTTTTAAAAGTGTGTAACTGGTTTAGAAGCACGAGTCCTGTTAGTTTCTACCAAAACTCATGTTTGTTGGTGTGTTGTGTATTTTTGAAACATTCCCCCTTTGTAGGTTGTTATGTTGAACGTTCTATTGTGAGCTTTATCTTGCTCAACAACCATTGTTCTGGATTGGTTATTTGTTTGGAAATGCCCATATATATGTAGAATGCAAGAATAATTTGTTTTCAAAATATTTAATGAACTTTTTTTGGTTATGAAAATGGTCACTCGCCTGTTAAACGAAGAATAACAATTAATAAAAACCCTTACATATTTCTGCACTGTTTTGTAACTTGGGCAAGGTGGGTAGGAGGAGCGGAATTTGCTGCTTTATTCCAACTTTCTAAGCAAATTGCACAATTTTAAGGTTTTGCAAATTGGACAATTTTTAAATTGGTATGAAAAAAGTTTTGGTCTTTGTGCTGAGAAGAGAATATGTTAGAAGGTTTTTTTCTTTCTTAGGAAAGAACAGCATCATTAAACAGATAAGTGCACCAGCTTTAACTAAAGATGAGTGGTTAAAGATGACCGTCCCACTAAAAGACTGGGGTAATTCCTTCTGTCTGTTACATAGGGTATTCTGCCTTCCTCCAGAATCCCTCAAATGTCTCATTCTGCATGTCAGCTCCTTTTCATTTCCCGTGTGGATTTTCTTGTTTTCCTGCTGTCTGTAAAGAAGTACAATCCAGCTGCTCTAGGACAGTGTTCAGACACTCTGGGAGTCCTTGTTCCCTTCATAAAAGAACCTTAATCTCTTTGTATTTGACACAATCCTTTGCATTTACTCATCCCTCACCTTCACATGGAGCATGCCATGCTTGTGAAATATTAGAAATAAATAAAAGAGTACAGCTTGTTGTCAAACGGAGAACAAGAGCTGGTGTTTGTTATTATAACTTCAGATTTGTTGTTATAACTTTAGTTTAAAATTACCACACTGTTCAAGTCTTGGAGTTTGGGGTTTCTTTTTAATGCATATCTTGTTCAGGTGGTTCACACATCTGTAGGTCACAGCCTTTCCTGAAAGTTAGTAACATGCAGGTTGGAAGAGGCATCCTAGGGCTGCTGTGGAACGGAGGGCTGCAGGTTCCCTTCCAAAAGAGAACTCCCGCTTGGAGGCTGTGGTACTGGTGCTGGGTTTGGTGGATGGGGCTCCAGGTGTCTGCCTCAGGCGTCTGAGAAGGGAAGGTCCCTTAGGGAAGTCTTCAGCCTCGTCTGAGTCCTAGTGGGGCGTGCCCCGAGAGTAGCTACACTCATGGGTTTCACCACTGCACAGCTAAGTTGTCCCCAGTCCATACCCCACAGGGCAGTAGTCGTGTTAATATGACTTTTTACATTTAGACACAGGTAAGGAAACAGCCTGAGACATCTTGTGCTTTCAATAAAAGCAAAAAACGTGTTCTGTTTGAACTGCCTGTCGTGCGGTACAGCTGCTGTCCTGGGTGCGTGCAACGCAGAGAGAAACGCAAAAACACTCTGGACTTCACGGAACTTGGAGTGAGTGCTAGAAAAGGGAAATCTTCCTTAGAAAATGCTCCTGAAGGGGGGCGGGTAAAGAGGAGTAGCCCAGAGGGTCTGGCCTTCTCTTGCTCCTATTGCCTAAATAGGAGCTACCAGAAGACCGCTGACACGACTACATGTGTTGCTCAAAGGGATGCTGCACTCTGGAAGTGACAGCTCTGTTCAAGCCCCCCCCGAAGGGAAGGGTTTTCAGAAGCCACCCATTACCTCTTGCTCTTTAAATCACTCTTGTGAACATACCTATGTGAGGATGAGAAAATAGTGAGAGTTCCTCTGTCGAGGATACAAGGCAGAAAGAGTGGTCACCGGTTCAGGTATTGTGGGAAAAGCAATGGAATTTAAGTTATAGCTCTGATAAAAGGATGAAATTCAAGTTTACTCTATAGTTACAGTTGTGGTGTAGCTGGATGTGAATGCATGCCAAGGACACGTAGTCGTTAATTGACTGCCTGGTGCAGAAGCTCTCCAGCTAATCACTGCATAGCTGCAACAACAGACGGATCTGCAAAGAAGTAGCTCACTGAAATGTAGGGTAGCTTGACAATGAGGAGATCAACTGGTCTGCCAGCCACTTCACAGCAAAACAACCGACTGATTGCTGCAGGAGCTCTCCTAGCAGCTGGGGCCACGCCAGAGGTTTCCCCGGGGAGCTCCTGCCGATACGCATAAGCTCTGCCCTGTAAGCTGATAGGCGCTATCTGTGTGCTTAGATATATTGCTTAACCACTTGGGGTGAAGGATCCAGTGCACAGCCAGGGATTTCCCCAGGTGGTTCCTGTTGTCGATTAAGGAATTGATCAGATCATGCATAATTTTCTATAGGCAGTGGAAATTGTTCCTGCCTATGCAAGGATGGGCACGTGGGGCTGTCTTTTGCTCGTAGATGTGTTTCTTACATAGTTTAAGATAATCAGCAAAAACTGATCATGCATACACTGTAGTGGTCACGTAGGCCCACAGGCCAGCTGGATTATAAAAATTCACCAGAACAACAGTTTGGGGAGTCTCAGTCCATCTAGCTGAAGACACCATTGCGGGGATGTTTGCAACATCAGCATCCAGGCAGCAACCAACCATCTTGGTCAAGAGATTCGGTCCCCCCCGTAAGCATTATCCTATGCAAAATATCCCAATAAAAATAATAAAAGTTCTGTCTCTGAATGTGTGCAGTAGTATATTCAGTCAGTAAAGTCCAAGTGGGAGACTGAGAAACCATTTCTCAGCACAGAGAAGTTTCAAAATCTTGGAAAAGTGGACAAATTGGCCTTTTAAACTGGTTACACTTAAATACATTTTGGAGGAAGTAAAAGAAACAAGTAAAACCTCAGCACCTGACCTAGACCAAATAAGTTTAAAAGACCTCGTACAGGCAGACCCCCAAAGGACTGGTATTAGCAGAACTCTGACTTACGGATGGCAACATGTGTACTTGGTAGTATCAAGGAAAACAGAACTATTTTGATACTGAAATCAAGTTATGTGGCAAAACTGAGAGACCTATTATGATAATCTGATCAACCATCTTAATACTCTTCCCATGGATTCTGACAACCAGGGTAACAAAAGCTTGGCCTATTAATGGCCAATGGGTGACAGAGAGGCCTTATAGCTGAACCTGGGTGCTCTGAGAAGGTAAAATCACTCCAATTCGTCATTCAATATGCTAGGAAAAAACACAACCCTTGTGGGCAGTATTCACAGAACCGGCCGAGGCCTCCTACTCAGTGACACGTGAACATACCCTCTGGTTCTGAAGTAAAAAGAACTATCTGACCATGTGGTCAGATGAAAATTGATCTGGAAGTGCCACCACTCATCTGGAATTGAAAAAGGATCATGCTGAGCCAATTGCCGTCAAGGTCAGAGTCAAACAAGGGGATCCAATGTCACCCAATCAATCCATTACTCTGCAACCTAGAAAAAGATGGCTATGGATTCCACCAGAGCAAATGGCACATGTGGCAAAACCAGGTTACCACCTTGGCCTTTGCTGATGACTTGGTCCTGCCAACCAACACATGGGCGGGGATGCAAAACACTGTCTCCCTTGTAGAAACCTTACTATGAGTGCACTGATCTAAAAACCCAGGAGGGAGAAATGTCACGGCTTTTTCACTAACCCCACCCATGATTCTTACACGATCAATGACTGCAGCCACTGGAAGGTGTTCAATATAAGCCAAACACAATTGCTCCAGGAGACTCTGAAAAATATCCCGGCTTGAAAATTTACCTCTGGATAGGGACATCTAAATCTGAATATTGAAGCTTGATTCTTGGTTTTCTAACGTGGGAAAAGCTCTGTCAAAACCTTTACAGAAAGCTCACAGCTTTGAAGACCTACATCGTACCAAGACTCACATACTTGGTGAACCATGCAGACATGAAGGATGCAGCCTGGACTTCAACATCAGAAGGGCTGTTAAAAAATGGTCACACCTCCCAGCTTGTACACGTGATCACCTACTGTGCAACAGCACTAAGGGTGGTGGCTGACAAGTCACGTGTGTGGCAAGCTTTATTCTAAATGGACAAGTGCAGTCATAGCATCTAATCCTACTCACAAGGTACCAGTGTCTGAGAAATTACTGTGGAAGGAGTTTTACAAAAAGAGTAATTACAGACAGATTATGGATAGCCACTGGAGAAAGTGAAAAGATGAAACATTACTGGTAAAATAGCCCTGAAAGTGGTGGGTACAGTGTAAAATACTAATGGCAACAACCAAACAAATGAAAGTAAATGGTGCCTCTGGAAACAAAGAGCCTGTTGAAGAGTTTGAAGAGCGCAGAGGGATTGTGAGAGCTGCCGTGATGGCCATTTGCTGTCATGCACCTCGAACAGCCCTGTGCTCCAGGCTGACCCCAGCCCGAGCCGTCCAGCTGCCAGAAAAATGCCTCTTCACCCTTCTCTTTATAACTGCTCTTGCAGGTTTGTATTTCTGAGACGCCTCACTTCCAAACTTGATTTGCACAATCAGAACAAAATCCTCAGCTAAAGCGGTTGGTGCTCCGTGTTATTAAATACTGCCTCCCCCTTGTGGCTAATGGCTCTTCTAGCCGGCAGCCTCAGCGGCACCTTCTGTTCCCATGGGCTCCTCTGGAGCACATCTCCGATGCTACACAGTCAGAGCTCCAGTCCAAACACGACTGGTGCGTAATAACAACAAAGATGAGGAAGAACGTGGTGTTCGGTGACCAAGACGGAATGAACTTATCTCCACCAAAGTGGGTATTGCGGTAGACCTCTCTGCAAAGGTGGCATGCAGGACTTGGATGTAGTTCAACAACCTATTAGCATCTCATTGTATACTACAGCACTGGAAAAGAAAACAGTAACAGCCTTGATTAAAGAACACTGTTCATTGCTTAATGAACATGGCAAGCAACAGCCTACAACTGTCAATATGTTCTGCTGCCTGCTGGAGAAGAGATGCATGTGGTGAGAGAGATGCAAGCAATAGCACTTTACTGGCTAAGAAATTTAGGGCGATGCTGGCCATCATGAGATCAGATAATCTGGTGCTGTCCACAGAAGCATTTCTACACCTATGCACCTTACCTGTAGTTCCCCCCAAAGTGATTCCAAAGATGAACTGTACTCTTCAAAGATGAAAGCAATATTTTGGGGATCTTCTGAATGTATGCAGTGCAACATTAAGGACAGCGCATCTCCATCCCTGGTGTCAACAAGAAGAACAAAACAAAGAAGAAGGATGATACTGCTGGACCTGATATTACTTCAGTGAAATATT